GAATTGGCTGTTCTCCGTCAACCACATTCGTATTTTTTCCGATTATCTCAACTGGCAGTCATTTCTTCCTCATATCGTCTGTGGAACCTGCAGACTTGAGGTTTTTTTACTAAGCCTGAGATATTAAAAATCAAGACAGGCGCTGTTCGCAGGCAGTCCGGAAAACAATGAATTTCTCTGCGCTCGGCGATTTTTTATTTCTCTGCTTCTTGAACACAGGTGATTTTTGTCAGTTCAGTAAGTCGGTGGCACTCAAACTTGTTTGTGCATTCAGGTTCCTGAGTTTGGCTTCAAAGCTTATGATGATTTGCTGAATGTATATCATCACAGAAAATTCACATTCTTTTTATTGCAGAAAAGCAAAAATCGCGTGCAGAACCTGCTAAATGAGCTTGCAATCAGTGCAAAGAAAATTAGGCCCTAAATTCACGAGAAATAATTGCTGTTACTCCACGTTCGACATATGGAGGACCAGCATGTTGAGCTCGTGAACAGCTAATCTTCTCACGACAATATGGATGAATAAGAAAAGAATGAATAGCCCTCACCTCTTTTTCAACACAAATATAGCATCAGTTTTGTATGAAACGTTTTTCAATTTCGTTAGTTCTATTGTGTGGAATGAAACAATTTCCTACTAAGATCGCTGTGGAAAGTTAGCGGTGATCAAAAATGAATTGTGGGACGATGCATGGCAGGTGTCAGCAAACTGCAGAATCATCTCCAACAACAGGCAGCAAACGATAAAATGAATTATTCAATAGTGCCCAGGCAGTATTTAAAGAATGCAGGGAAGATCGTCAATGCGACAGAAAAATTCGTTGGAAAACTATATCACATGCGGGCAATCGACGACTCTAAGGCAGAATCTGGCCCGCGGAGGGAATCCGAACGTGATGACTAAATAGACGAAAAGGGAGTTTGCAATGTGCCGCGCCTCTGCACTCTTATGAAAATAAAATTAAAATACGTACGAGGCAAATAGACGACAACCTGGAAAATACTTTGAGACTCTGTCTTAGTGATATAAATCCAAATTTCAACAATCTTAGTGATGTAAATACAAAAATTCAAACCCCGAGCCCACTGTAACTCACTGCTGTTATTTTTTACTGAATTAACGACCTCGTAAAATCTTATCTGTTTTTATGCGTGTTATGCAAACGCAAAAGCGCATAATATCGAGACCATGTGTATGTGTGTGTTCAGAAGTGAATGAACTTTGTCACGCACTTTCAGCTTACCAACGGAGCCACGATGCAACACTGTCATCCCAGCCGACGCCATTTTTACCGCACGCAAGAAAAGGCCAAAACACGGACACATGAGCTGCATGTGTTAAGCTGTAAAGCAACAACCATTTATGCTATTAATAATTCGATTGTATCAAGTATAACGCAAAAAAGCATGATGGCACGAACATGCCTGGTGCGTTGCTGCCTGGGTTTTATTAAAGGGTGGCCCGAAATCTGGCCTGCATGCCGCCAAGGGTTACTCATGCCTGAACGGTATTATTTGTATGAATGAGAAATTAAAAATCTAGAACTAGCAGCTGCATTGCTGAGGAGAAGAACGATTAAACTACAGTTGAACAAAGTACCAATGTAAGTGTGAATGCGCCTCAGACTAGTTGATGATTTTAGTGGGTGGACAGTTGGCAGCGATTTTTTCTGACGTGACACAAAGCAACGAC